TAAGAAGATACAGCAGGGAAATGGTAGTCGAGGATTCCCTCTACAGGTGAATGTTTACATGACAAGATCAAGAATTATTATTAAAGAAACTATTAACTTCATATTTTAATTTTAATAAGCAGCATATCTCCCCTGAAACAAAATTCAGACTTAATAATGAAATGCAGTCTTACTAGGATGTTGAAAGACATACATTTAGTATTATTTCCCATAGTCTTCATATTCCACAGAGTAGTGGACAACATTTTAAATGTTTTGTTTTTTTTTTAAGAAAATAAAGGAGATACATGCACACTCCTTGAAACAAAATTATTATCACAGGCACAAAAGATTGTTTTTGGTAAATGAAAAAAACTGAGAACCAAAAATATTCTGCTGACCATTTTGCAGTGTGTAACATACATTCTTTATTTAAACTATAATCAAATGGGTTAATAAAATATATTAATTATTAAGAACTATGGAATGTGTTTTTATTTAGATTTAATGTGTACAATTATAAACTTAAAAAACAAGAGCAAGCTGAGGCATTTCCCTCTATTATTAAATATACACAGTGGTCACTGGTAAATGAGCAGTGATTTGACCATGAGATTTATGTTTTTTCATTTGTATCAGTCTGAACAAATGTATCAATTCTGCAGACTTTTATTGATGAAGATATAATTCAAAAGCCGACTATATAAAACAAACCTTAAAAGATAATCACTACATTTTCTCGTTGTATCCATTTCCTATAAAACACATTTGAATTAAAGGTTTTCCATGTGGTAAGACTTTAGACACACTTAGATGAGTTGTAAGGGAAAAATATAAGGAAAAGGAGTATTATATTGAGTTTTGCCATGCTGTATGTGTTATGCTGTGTGCGTGCATGTGAGATCCTTTAAGCCCTTAAATGTATACTGATTTCAGAAAGGACAGTATCAATGGAAAGTGTAACAAGGCTGTCTAAGTGCTTCACCATTCTTCTAAATACATCAAAAACAAGTTTTAAAATGTGGATTTTTTTCAGTTTTGACTTTGTGAACCACTACTTAGAATTCTTATAACTTTAATAAACAACACAATTTAAAGAGATTAATTATTTTCAATTTAAGTATTTTACATCCTGCATTGTTTTATTGAAGATTAAGGATTTTAAACTTTAGAATCTTGATAAATTATAAATGAAAGAATAGTGCTAGTCAGGATGTTACTGGAAGAGCAAATAGATATTGATTTGTCAGAAACAGCAATTACAACAAAATTAAGTAAGAGAGTAATCCTACAATTTCTTGGTCTATTGTGTCCCCCAAGGACAGAATTATTTTGAACTATAGTGTTGAAGTGTCTCCAGATAATGTATTCCTTATCAGATGGAGGGTTTATGTTAATGAGTTTAAAATGCAAATAATTGAGATTATCAATAAATATCCTGTGTATCCAATGAGAGTGTGTCATTGCCTCCATGAGAGGAGGACATCTTCAAGGTCTGTGCCTTCTCTTCAGAACCCCTTGCTCTGGCTTTGGGTTCACCGAATACAATTATTATTATTATTATTAGTGGCAAACTTTGACTCTAAAATATGGGGAGATTTCTGATGCTCAAGCTTGGAAAATTAGATATTTTCTTGGTCAACCCTCCATTTTTATTACCTGTGCTGGGTAAATTTAAAGATAGTCACAAAAGTGATCTTGTCTATTTCTGAAAGGAAATTAAATGGAACATTATAAATGTAAGTCATTCATAGATTCACATATGGGTTCTAATAATTTTTGAGTCACACAGAGATAGGCTTATAGCCATTAACTTTCTAAAAGATTGTGTTGAAATGAAAGGATGACAAATGACCAGGTAATATCTGAGTTACAATGATTGGATAACAGGGTATTCATTTGGGAAGGAAGTTGGAGATGAACTAGATCATACTCGTTATTTGACAAATGGGGTCATGGAGCCACTATAATGGATAGATAAATAAGAGGCTTTCACAAAGATGACTTTCAATGTAATGATTTTCTAATTAATTTCCAACAATAAAAGATTGCTTGCTATCATACAATTCTTTCATAGGCAAGATTTCACGTGCAATCAATACAGGTATTTATGACAAAAAGTTATCCAAGTATTAGAAGCCTAGCACTTCTAGTTCTGCTTACCTCACCTTTGCTATTGTCATCACATCTTCACTGGGTATTCAACATTAACACATAGCACCCCCCCACCACTCTACCATCACCTCACTAGAGTTCATAGGGCACTAGAAATCAAAGGCACCTGTTTAGGGACCTTTGGGAGAAGTTGATTTAATTTGTATAAAAGATATTTGAGATCATTATATATTATAGGGACAACAATCATATATATTCATAATTTAATATTCATGTTTAAGAGATAATCCAGTAGACATTGTATTCCAGTTTGAGTTTCCAACATGAGGATATTTCTGCTTAATTAAGAAAGAGAAAAAACTGAAAAATGCCTGTATTATTTTGATGCCTCCAGGTTGGCTGAGCACTACATGATTTGGTTTCATTGACACTCCAGAAGGCCAACACTTTAATATTTGTCAATTTAAGCAGAAATAAAGGTAGTAAAATAATCAAACACCTAAATTTAATATACATATATATTGTGTATATATATGTTTATATATATGTATGTGTGTGGGGGAGATGGTCACAGTAGGAAACAGATTATTATATAAGAACAATGTGGATCTTAAGGAATCAATTTCTTGATTTACCCTCACTATTTCTTAAAAGGGAAAGAAAGAATACAGGAGAAAGAGATAAAGCTTATTTAAAGGCCTCATTTCCCATGAAATATTGGTATATATTTAAAAATGAGAACACCTTAGAAACATTGTACTGGTTTTTCCTGGATGTAGACTAAATTTCCGAAGACTAAAGTACAAATACAGTATAGACATGCTATCATTGACAACACTATACTAAACCTACACAATTGAATAGTAATAAAAAAGTATTTTTTATATATAAAATATTTCCCAGGTACCAAAAGATCAAATAAAAATCCCACCCCTCCTGCTGTGTTCCTAAGTATACTACATAGTGACTTGGGAAATGTTTCACAGCACTTGCCTCAGGGTAATGTTCTCTGGTTTATGGGGCTGGAATCAAGGACCCCCTCCTCACTTAGGAAGGTGTGGTTTCCTATAGCACCATGCTGCCAGCCAGGTGTGAACAACTGCTGCAGACATGAGTATGTTCTTGTGCACACCTGCTTATAGACAGCCATAGCCAAGGTCACCAGAAGCTTCACTAAAATTGCAGATTTAACTGTCATTCACTCTAGAAGCCAATGTGCATTCTCTTGAAGTCTGCTTGGCCTTCTGTTTTCTTTTTAACAGGCCTGATATGTTATTGTGATTAAAACAGATTAATTTGTCAAGTCTTAAAAACAGCATTGTTCTTCTTGCAGAAGAAGGCCTTGCTGATGCTACCTGGAAATAATGTAAATTGTTAGAGATGTGAGAAATTTAGAAATATGTATTCCTTAACCCATAATCAGGTAGGTAAATATTTGACTAGAGTATAAAACAGAGCACTTCATAATATGCACAGGAAAATCAGGAAGAATATTTGAGTGATGATTATCCAATATCATTTCTATTATTTCTTGTCAGCATAAAATTGGTCCCATTTTGAACACCAATTTCCCATAGCAATCATTGGTGAATTAGAATAACATATGCTTTATAAAAAAAAGTCATATCAGAAAATGATTCAGAGTAAAAACAATGGGTGACATTCATTTCCCAGTTAATTGTAAATAAGCAACTTACTTAATTACAAATCTTCAAATACCTGTTTACATAATGAAGACAGTGAAAATGAAACAAAATCAGAGATGTCTTGTGGAAGTAAGCATTTCTTTGCATACACATGAGCTTGAATGACCAGGTGGCAATGGCTCCAGGTGTTTGCCATGTTACATCAGTTTTGGTAGCCTTGATGCTGTCAGCGCTTGTCTGCTGGTGCCCAAGAATACACAATTTGAGCTTGGACCTTTTTCAGAGGACAGCTTCATATTCCAAAGGGAGACAAATGACCACTGAAAGTAACCATTAATATTTATTCTTTATGGAGAACTTTGTCTTGACTATCAATTAGGAAGTAACTATATCTCTAAACTTCACATTAGGCTGCCAGTGGGTGTGCCTGCTGTTCACGCTCTTCAGAATGCACAAGATGTTTATAATCATGTAATACATGGTTGTACTTTAAGAAACAAGGGGCTGAATCAGGACTTATGTTTGACTGATGATCTTCAATCTTTTCAGAGTACATTATATATTAACATAACTATAGTGAGTCACAGACTATATAATCTCCTAATTAGGAAAACTGTATGAATCCTTCAGATAAGTAACAAGTAAATTTTTAGTGAAAAGACCCAAGAACAAGGTTGACTTAATCAAACTTGTGAGGACTTCCAGTTAATGTTCATAATCGTAATACATTTCAACACAATAACATATTTTATGTGCAACTTTGGGAGGTTTATATACACCTGTTAAGACCATCTTTTCAAAATTTTCCCAAAGATATACTGTTTTTAGATGGGAATGTGGATGATCTAGAAATTAAAATTTTATAATAATCTTTTAAGGGGCTAACGTTACTTCTATATTCAAAACAACAAAATTATAATGGGACAACTAATGAAGACAACAAATCTTTTGTGAATATAAAATGCATTTCTACCAAAATGTTTTCAACAGTTGAGACCTTGAACTTTCACTAAACAGTGTTGGAAAGAATACTATGCTCTTTCTTTTCCCTGTATAATATTATATCTATTATTAAAGTATGTTCTCAAAGAGCAATTTGCAATGTATTTTCAACAGAAATAACCTCAATAAGAGTTGTACATATTCAATGTCTGATTCAGGAAGTTACATTCCATTTTAATGGAATAAGAAAATTTTAACCAAGGTTTTCCCAACTACAGTAAAAGAAATCCTTTATATACTTTCAAATACTGTGCCTTTTTATTTAAAACAGTGTAAACATAACAACACCACCAAAATTTTGAAAAAAAAAACTGGTTATGTAAACACTAATTTTCTTGAATACCCCCATCAAAGTAAGGGTAAATAAAACAGACAAATCTTCAGGAGAAGTTTCCGTTAACCTTAGCAGTGATAAAAATATTGCTTTATTCCAAATGAACATACAACACAATTTACTGTTCTTTAGGGGGCTTCCTATGAACTGAATACTCTGGGCGTTGTGATTTCAACAATTTATTCTTAACCACAGAAGCTAATGTCTTGGTCCACAACTTATAGGTTTGCTACAAAATAAATCATAATGAGCCTCATGAGAAAGCAAAGGATAATTGTCAATTTGGTCATTGGCTTGTGTAAATAACTTAAATACACACAATTTAAAATAAATACACATCTTCAACTTGCCTTGTGATATGGATATCATCAATGAGCCTATAGTTATTCCTCTCAGAAGTATTCACATCAGAAAATGGTCTGGACATTGTCAAAAGTTTTATAGGATGTCACTTCAAGTGACTGATTTAAGAACATACTAACTGAACTTTATACTTCATGGGAAAATTTAAAGAGAACAAATCTAAGAGGGAAAATTTTTTCTGAATATTAGATTCCCTGATATTTCAGAACAAATTTTAACAAGTGTAATACTCACACACATGCACACACATACTCACAATGAACACGTGCATACAACATACCAGTGCTCCAGGAAACTCAGTCGCACACACGCAAATGCACACTCTCACATGCACACACAGGCACACACACTGAGAAATGCTCCTGTGGAGCCCTTAACCAATCTCAAAGAAAAACATTTCTATCTGTATGATTTTAGTGACATGACACTGTGATTTTTGTCTCTTTTTGTAATGATTTCATACCTCCCTCTGAGATTCTGTGCCCTCAAATTTCAGAAGATGGCACATAAGAGAAGCTGAGATTGCCCCCAATGACTCCCTTTATCTCCTGTCCTCCTCCTTCCAGAGTCTTGGTGCCCTTCTTCAAAATTTAAAATTAAATAGAAAACACATGTGTTGACATGACATAACCTGTGATGAGGCTGTCCAGTGAAAATAAATTTAGAGGTTGGGACTTTCAAGCTAAATGACAAGAGTCACCTTCTCACTGGCACCTCCGCCCTCAGAACACAGCTTGTCTCTGAAACCAGGTAACTGCCAGTGCCCTTTTGTGAGGATACTGGTGCTGTGGGGCTAAGGGTCTGGATCACCCCCATTTACTAAAAGCCAAAAAGGACAGTGTTGGGACTAACTGAAACTGTATTCAGAATTCTATCCAAAAGCTTTAGTTGTAAGCTTTATCCCTCCTGAAATGTTTCTTTCCCTTTAAAAAAATATTTTGTTAAAAAACACTATGATATGAGGGCGATAGACTATTTGGTTTCTTCTAAGTAGATGCTCTTAAATTAATGCATATAAATAATTTGTATTTAATTTCCTCTCTTTCCTGTTGAGCAAAGCATACAATGCACAGATTCCTACATCTCAAGTCACTTGGTCAATGCAGAGTCTCTTTGTATTTCATTTCTTAAGACAAATTGTGCCTCTCGTTCTGATTTAGCCGTGGGACTCAGGGGGAGGAAGGCTGTGTTTTCACTTGCACTGTCCTCAGTGTCTACACTGGCTAGTTCATAGTCTTCTGACCGCCTGGCCTCAGTCAGAATTCGGATCTGCTCCTGGACAGTTTCTAGCAATATTTTCACTTCTTGTTGTTCTGCTATAAGACAATCGTTGACTGGAATACTCACATTGACAACATCAGCAGAGTAGGAGTTTTTGCACCATTTGATGCTTTTTACTTCAGAAATCCCTGGCATTTGCATGCAGGTTTCCTCTAGACCCACTGAAGGGATGATGGGCACAGAATTGGCCCTTGTGGATGAATATACCATCAGGTCCTTCTGATCCAAGTTATTAAAATAGGAGTTTGTCTCTCTTGAAGGCAGTTGCATATTTACTGATGCATTTTGTTGGGTGTTTAAACTGGTGGATGAATACCTGAAAAAGAAACAAAGTGTTATACATTCTCTCTGCCAGCGCTTCTTCAGAGCACTATCCAGCCAACAAAGCACTTTCCACATGCACCATCTCACTGAATTCTCACAGCAACCCCATCAGACGGATAGTATGTTCCCAGTTAAACAGAGAAGTAAACTGAAGCTCAGATAGGTGAAGTGACTTGCCCAAGGTCACACAGAAAATAAGTGACAGACTGAGACTCAAACCCAGATCTTCTTACTTTAAGTCCAGGGATCTTTCAACACACCACAGCTGTATAGGCAGGTGGGATATAGTCTTCCTGACCTCTATCCTAGAATACAAAGTAAATGGGGATTGAGCAGGTAAGTGTGGCCTTTCCATAGTGACAAACAGGAAACCCATTACGGCATTACTCCACTCCATCAACTTGACCACCCTCTCAGCCCTGGTTTAGTACTCATGTGGCCACTCTACACAAAGAAATCAGGAAGCCCAACATTAAGCATTAAGGTACTATATTCCTGACTTTTCCTGTTTCACCCTTACTTTGGGGAAACTGAATGCAATTTCTATTGGCACTCTGCTCCATAGGAATTGCCTCCCTACACATTGCTAAGACAAAAAATGGGAACAGGAAGCATACATTTCTCTCTGCCTAGTGGCTAACATGAATTGAGTTCTACAGGAACTCTGCCATTCTAGCAACTTTCCTCACATGGTTTCTGGAGACAAGTTATGTGGCTCACTGTGCATGTCAATGGCTTGTTAAGAATGCCAACATGCCATTTCAAGTCACTTGAATATTTCAGAATATGACTTGCCCCTGCGTTAACTGCTCAGAGCTAGTGAATTTGCCAGGGCTCGGAAGTTCCCAGTGCCATAAAGTGGGACAGTGATATAGATTCAAGCATATTATAGATATAAATTTGGGGACTAGAACACTAGTCTTTATTCTATTTCTCAGTTCATATCCTTAATTTAAACATTAAAATTAAGCATAATCTAAACTGATCTGCTCTCCATATATCATTCCCTTAGTTTTATATTGTAATATAAATAAAAGTCATGTTTATACATGGAAAGAATAATTACAAAAAAAGTATGTGGCATACTAAATAGAAGTCTTTAATGTAGGGACATGATGGGGACAATCTAGAAATCTGTCTTCCCATCAGACAATAAGAAAAGATGGGGGACAAATTTAGGTGTCTTTTTAGTCCCATCCTTACCATTCCTAGTACAGAGATGGTAATCAATAAATCTCAATGGAATGGACACATGAATAATAAACACACTTTATACCCCCATTAGCATTCATTTCAAACATAATAATAAGAGCTAACATCCACACAGTGCTTTTAAAAAGCACTTTGACCTGCAATTAACTCACTGAATTTTTAAATACTATGTGGTTTATTTATTATTATTACCATGTAAGGAATGAATAAACTAGACTAAGGGATACTCAAATGACTTGCCCTAAATTATCTTTAGTAAGCATCAGAGGAAGAAGTTAAACCTAAGTTGTCTTATTTTCATTGTTACTGTCAAAGCCAGAAATGAATGGGCATCCAAGGTACACTAGAACACCTTTAGAAAGATATATAATCTTTACCTGTGCAAACTGGATAGTCACCACATACAAAGAACTTCCCTTTTTCTTTAGTGTTATAGAACTGAAAATCTAAACCTAAGGATTTTAATCAGTAAATCAATTTCAACAAGAAGAAAGGAAACAAGTTAGAGGATTTTGTGTCCTGTCTTTAGTACCATACTGTTAACACCATTAATATGTATGAATATGTAGAATGTCTTCTGTCAGATTCACCAACATAACAGAGCCAAAAAATACAGTTAGGGTAAAATCATATTTTGTGTAGACCTCATGAGAGTGTATCAGTAGGTATAATCTAAAGTATTGACATGTGATGGCAATAGATGAAAATTCTTATACCAGGATCTAAACATTATTTGGAAAAAAATGTTAGCTAAAGGTATAAATATCTTAGAGGATTTAGTCAATTGTAGCTTCAATAAGTCAACAATGTGTCATGACTAAGAAGTAGTCAAAGGTAATTCAAGCCAAACTTGGAATAGTCTTCCAACATGCCTAACTGCTGAATTAAGGACTTAGATGAGAAAGAGAAATTGCAGCTGCTGACTTTTCTGTCACCTCACAAGTGAGTTATGGGACATATGGCTGGCAATAACTGAAATAAAATCTTAACTATAACATGAAGATATTCTTTAAACAATTACAACTCTCTAAAATGTGATTTTGTTTTGGATTAAATATGGCTTCAAGTCCCAATGTTATTTGTAGAAAAATTGCAGACTCACTTTAATTTTCTCATATTAAAACAATGGGGTAGTCATACTGACCTGGGGAGATTGCTCTGAGAACTAACTGAAGTAACACCTCTGTACTATTCTACCAGAGGCACCCTGTAGTCCTCACTTCCTGTCTAGAGCTGCTGTGCGTGTCCCAGCACTGGTATTGAGTAGAAGCTGTTACTATTCTTCAGAAGTTTAATTGAGAGATACATTTCTAGATGTGATTCTCAATTAGAAGACACTCAGCGTTCCACATCCCTGAGAGTCGATCACCCTTTCACAAATTTGATCCATGAGCTTGTCAATCATTGACTGTAAAATACCAGTTTGGGCTGTCCTTCCTCCAATCCCTCAACAAAGAAATCACAAGTGTATTTCTTCACTAAATATGTGAGTCAAAACATCATTCAAAAGGTGAAATATTCCAACAATTAGTCACCTGGTTTTATTCCCAATAATTCAGGAGTCAGGCCAAGGAGTTTGTATTTCCACAGGGGACTCCAGGACCTAGTTCCTAGTTCATATGGCTTTTGAATGAACTGACTAAATTAAAAGAATTCACTTTTCCCTCTGAAACCATACAACTGAGATTCCATTTGCACATCATCATCCAAGAATGTGATTTTCTTCACATTCCTTTTTCTGGTTTAATGGCTTCTTTGGTAAGAAAGACCAGTATTCAGTCTTTATATGATATATTCCACCTTGGGCCAGCCATTTAAATTCCCCTACCCTTAGTGCATTCATCTATCAATTTCCTGAAGAATAACTGAAGTATATAAAGTTTTTAGTTAAGTGAGATAAATAATCAGTATATTTTTGTATCCCTTCTACTTTGAAGGTGGCAGTCAAACTTTTGTAGCTTCATTCCTTTCTCTCTAGTACATGAATACTCGTTTGACTTGCCTGAGTAATCACCACCTCAGGTCTTCCTCAGGCCTCACTAAAATAGTTGCTGGGTTCAAAGTGGGCTGAAGTCAGTGCCAAGGAGTGAAGTTACAGACACCAGAGCCTAACTAGCAGACAGTGCCCACATGCTTGATAAACATGCAGCAGATGACTGATAGCTCTTGCAAATCCATTCACTCCCCCTCTAGGCAAGGGCCAGATCTGGAGAAGGCCTTTAGCTGTGAAATTCTATTATCAATCCTATTTCTAGTCCGTAGAGACAGCCAGTCCCCCAGGAGTGGAAAAGAGCTATTTCCAAGAACTGAGAATGAGATCGCTCCCTGAGATTCATTGTACTGAGTACACAGTGACTTATACTTAGAGTCACAATTTATCAACACTGGGCCCATAACACACGTAGGAAAACACACGTGGCTAGCCAGCCAGAGAGACTATTCTAATCTCAATGATGATTGAACCAAAACAAAACCACCACCTTGCAGACAATAAGTGTAAGTCTCCCAGGAGGTAAAAGACAAAGCAATGCCTGCACATGTAATGGGATTTCTAAGCCACTGAATATTTGCATATATATGGTTTAAGCCTATGTGCAGCATAGGGTCAGAACATCCTTACATCTAGGACATATGGAATGATAGCCAAAATATACCCAACAGAAAGAAAGGCAGTGTGGGCTGGGTTCTCTCTCCACTCACAAAATATATTAATCCTAATTAACAGACCTTATCAGTGATTTAAAAAGAAAAATAATTATGAGATATAATTAGTTATTATTATAGACTAAATATAAGCCCCCTTTCCAGATACAAGGCAAAGAGAAATGCCAACCTACTTCTTGGACAACTTGGATGTTATATTGAATTTGCAGCCGTCAGACCAGATCTGTACCAAACACATTTTACAGTATATTTGGATTTGCTTTAAAATTATAAAACCCAGCCACAGGCTATTCATTTCCTATCCTCTAGTCTTCCTGAAGAAATCTGTCGCTGAGCTTTGTCAGATAGGGCACAATTGCACACTCATCTTGCCCAGAAGAAAAGAAAATGGCAGGGCTTTCTGATGGCCTTCCCACTTGCCTTGGCCTTCAGCTTGATACAGTGTATTAAAGTCATCCAGGCCAGAGAAGCATAGAAACTTGGCTTGGCTTACCCAGAGATAAAAACTAAATGTAATAATAACCTGGCTTGTGTGAGGCAACAGATTCTTGAAATTTCTGTAATAAACTCTGATTTTATTACTATTGAAATCATTGGTAATTTTGTAACAGTTCCTGTGACAATAAATATCAGTACTACCTCTCTGTTTTTTACCACGTGACGTATACAAGGTCTTTACACACATAATTTAAAAAAAATCTACCCATCAATCTTTGGGAAGGCTCATCAATTTATAGATGAGAAAACTTAAATTTAGATGATAAAACTTTCTCAAATTCACACAAATACTAAGGGCCAAGGATGATATTTGAACTTCAGTCATTTTAAGTAAGTGCTGCTATGTTTGGTTGAACAGTACGTCAGTTAGGTGGACAGTGACTAAAATTCATCCTACAATACATTCCACTCACCATGCCTTGAACCCCATTAGGATTCCTGTCCACTCAGAAGGAGGGACACCTTTTGTACTGCAAGGAGGAATAGCAGCCATAGTGTCCCAAGTCCCTTTTTCCATCCCTGCACTGTGAACAAACCTAGAGATCTGAATTCAGCAAGTTGTACTTGAGAGCATACTGTAACTGAGACACATTCAAGAATGCCCAAGATTTTAAACATATATATATGTTTAAATAAACATATTACAGGTTATTTTTTAGGATATTGTCCATGATACTGATCAGAGAATTAAGTAATTTTTTCCAAAACTAAGGATAAAGAGAAACACTTTAGTCCTCTTAAGAAACCTCTAGTTTTTTAAATCAAAGACAAATTCTAAGTTGTTTTAGCAACTATATATCAACACACTGCATACATATCTATACATTTATTTTCTTGTTATTGTTTATGTTTATTTTCTCTCTATTTCCCTAACATCTATTTCCATTGTACCTACTCTTTCAAGTTAGTTTACATTTGTGAAACAAAGATGAAAGGAAGAATAAATAGCTAATTGATGACAATATCAATGAATAAAAGCCCAATGAGCATGATTCAATTTAAAGCTATAGCAATAATGACACCCTCCCTCAATTTCATTGTTTTTAGACCTACCCTTGACAAGGTATTGTATCCTGGTCTGGGATCCTTGATTCCTCAAGCTGTTGATACGCTGGTCCCACGATTCCGCCCAGCCTACTTCGAGGTGAGGGTGGTGTCCTTCTAAAGGCGTTCCTGTGGAGCATGCCACTCCTTTGTCCTGGGCTGCAGCAAGAGGACAGACTCCTGCTGGGGTGAAAGAAAACAAGCAAACAAATTGGTCATAGCAATGACCTTACAGGTATCTGTGCAAACTTCTCAAACACTGCATTTGCACCCCAGATTCTCAAAGTTGCAGGCCAGGCTCCATCCATAACTGTAGTATAGCTAGGAGGGGATCAGAAGTTGCCAAATTCATTTTACCCTTGCAGATACTTAGACAAAGAGTTCTTGTATTTCTGGCTTTCCAATGGGGAGAATTGACTAAAATAATTGCTGTTTTCCAGCCAAAATAAGAAGTGGGATTAAGAAATTATCAAGCTTCTGATTCTCATCCACCCTCATTATTCAAGCTATAGTAACTATCTCTCAAGTAAAAATAAAAATGGCTTTATTATTAGACACTGACAAGAACCAAATACAGGAAGCCCTAAAGGGTGTTATGGGGAAAATTTCAGTTTGTTAGTGGTAAAAAAACCTTATTATAATTGGCATTCTTCCCTTAACATATACATTAAATTCACAGTTCACTACCTCAAATTTTCATTAATCTTGAGGAACTAAATTACTTTTTTTAATTTGCTTTACTAAACATCTTATTTTGACTCATAGATCCAAATACCCAAATAACTACGTTTTTAGATGTCATCAAAGGGCACAAGTTATAAATAAGATATACTTTAGGTGATATCCCTATATAGCTCATGTTAAACAAAAGAACAAGACTCTTTATAAAAATCAATTGTTAATTTGACACTTTACCTGTTCCATATGCATCTCATCTCTACCTCACCAAATTTAACCTACTCTCATAGGTAGCACTGAAGAGAATTCTGCTCCTGTGTACACATTTTGTAAGATGCCAGTTTATGTGATAAAACTATATAGAGGACATAAAACTATACAGAGAAAATTGAGAAACATTTTCAAAATTTCAATAGAACTATCAAGTTTTAAAGGTACCAGTCCTCCTAAAGAAGTTTCACCCATATAACTGTATTATTTGGAGTTCTGTAACTTTCCTGTACTAATATCGCTGTTATTTCTACTTAATAAATACAAAATAATTTATCAAATATTATTTAAGTTCAGAGTTGACAACCAAGATGACTAATCAAACTTCACATTCCTCAAGCCAACACTGACTTCCTGAGTTAGTGCAAACACCAGGTCATACCTGGCAACATTATTACAACTTAATTCTTTATTGTAATATCTCTTGCATGTTGAGTCTCAAAATGCCTCGACAAGTTAAGGAGATGCCTCCACTAGTACCCACAAGTTAAGGATATCTATAATAGCTCATTTATTTCCCTTCCTGCCAGCTTCTACCTATATCATGCAGTGGAAATTTTGGACTCTGAAGGGTACTAAGGCTTGGGTGCTAGAAATAGGTGCACCTGGATATGCATCTGTACATTATTAGCAGTGTGATACCGGGGGAAGTACTAGAACCAGCCAGAGTCCTGGAGAAAAATAGATGGGACTCTAAGTTGAATAATTTGGGGGGACATTTTGCTATTTACAAAGGTGTGGTTAGTATTTGAGGGAAAAAAAAAAGCAACACAAGATACTACTGTATGTCAGGGTTACTAACAATGGGAAGCTGTTACTATCCCTGTAATTGAAGGGACAAGGGGAGGAAACCATCAGCAGAATAGAGAGAAAAAGAGGTTGCAAAGAGAGGACTACTGGGCACTTTGTCCCAGGAAAAGGGATATAGCTGAGGCAGCCAGGGAGGGAGGGGGCAGAAATACTAGGACCTTGCTCTCCCTTTGCCCTTCCATCTCTTATTCTTGCCTCATATTGAATCAAGAGAGCTAGAGGCCAAGGGAGACTGCTTACCTCTTAGAGCACAGAGCAAGGCAGAGAAATGTAAAGCCTAGACATGGGTGGAGGAGGTGCAAGAGAACAGCATTAGCATGATGCTTAAGTCTTTTCATAGGATTGGTGTGGGGGGTTCAAAAAGATCAAATATGTAAAGTATCTGGCATGAAATTTAGCACATACTAGGTGCTCAACACAGTAAATTCCCCTGATTCCTTCTCCACCAATGATAACTCAAGGCTCCCATTAGTCATTGAAAAACCTGAATTTATTTCATTATTAAAACAGCCTATCTATGTGTTGTCTATAAATGGGTTATATTGCCAAAACATAATGTAATAAGTATGACATGACAAAATTGACTTCTTCTTTAAAAAGGAATAGTTTGCCCTGGCTGGTGTAGCTCAGTGGATTGAGAGCAGGCTGAGAACTAAAGTGTCGCAGGTTCAATTCCTAGTCAGGGCACATGCCTGGGTTGCAGGCCACATCCCCCAGCAACCGCACATTGATGTTTCTCTCTCTCTCTCTCTCTCTCCCTTCCTTCCCTCTCTAAAAATGAATAAATAAAACCTTAAAAAAAGAAATAAATCACGCAAAGAAACTCAACCTATCATTATAAAAAAAGGAATAATTTTACTTACTAAAAAGGAGAAACAGTGCTTTGACTTAACAGTTTTGTTTCATAAATGAATTGTCCAAATAAGTCATATTTACAGTGCACAGAAAGAAATTAATTATTCATAGCTAGCCAAACTGTCACAACAGCAAAGTCTACCAGTATGAATTAGTGGCCCACCTTAAGAAGAAGTTCTATACCTATTGATCAATCAGCTATGCTGCCCTTCTAACCTACTAGCATTCAGAAGTAATGGAGCAGTTTTCAGTCTATATAAATCAGTGGCCAGGTTATCAATCATGAAAACATTTAGGTCTACTGCATGTTTTACAAAACAAAAACTATGTTATATTACACTACAATTTACAAAGTTTTAGAGGTGCTTTATAAATCAACCCTTGCCTACCTATCAGGACACAATGTATGCCTACAAATACTGAAATGTCACTAAACTGAACAAAAAGGAAGATCTCTTGAAGACATTCGTATTTCATAAAAATCAGAGTAGAAGCCAAGTTTAGAAGGGAGTGTATCAACAAACAAGGAGTAAGAGTAGGGTATTTGCAGCAAAAATACATTAGAAGCTCTAATCCTTGTTTATCTCAACTTTAAAATATTTATGGCATAATGTAGTATAGAATAATATACTTAACTATTGTACTTGACCAGATGGAATACCACTTTCATGTGTGTTATAATCAGCAGGGAAAATGGTGTTTGGAAGAAAATATCCATCTTCTTAAAGGCTGGCAATTTTGGATGTATTTCCCTAATTAAAGAACTTCTATTAGCTCCAGTGAACTGAAATGATTTTTTTCACAAGGAAATATCTATAAATGCCTCAATTGATATAAATCAAAACTTGTAGTTAATAACTAAAGCAATTACCCAATAGCTAAACATATTTCAACCCTGAGCTGAAAATATTTAAATTACTTTTTAAAAAACAACAGACCCTTAGTATCTCAGTCTCTCCTCATGTAGAGTGACAGAAAAACCTCATAGTAAATATGTCATCTTCAATAAAATCTTCGGACTCATTGAGAAGCAAAGGAGAAGAGAGTTTCCTTGTTAATGCATGCTTCTGTCATGGTGGTTTTAAAAAACACTACCTAGATATGTAAAACCTATATTTATTTTTCATTGCTGGGAAAATTGATATTTTTTATATTTTATTTTTACAAATTTGCATAGTTTTTTAAATTTAAGGTATTATACTTCTTACTAAGAGAAGGATGTTTAACTCAGGACAACTCCTACAAAGATTGAGGATATGCATTTAAATGACAAACCATTCATTTGTTCAGGTCCTAGTTCCAAACTTTGGCAGTTGTTGTAGAATAAAGGTTTTCAATTTTTGGAGTTCTAGATTCCTTATGCATAGAACAGAGTATGTGACTAGAAGACAATAAAGAAATTTCTCAGCTTCAGAATGCCATATCATTTATAAGATAACTTTATTTTTGGCTTTCTCCCCAAAAGAGCCGATTTTTATGGTCAGCTTGTAAGAGTGCTATGCCACTGATAATAGATCATGCAGATCCATGGAGAATATTTGCCAGGATTCATCCCCCTGGAAAGTTTTCTTTTTATGAGAACCATGTTGGAAGACCTGGAACATGTCACATCAGTTGCCTAGGGAAGAATTAGTCATTAAATTTGTAGATAGTGATAAGGCAGACTAGAAAAAAATCATGTTTTTAATAGTTTCTCAGAATTCAATTGTTTCATTTACTGGTCTGCGTGTGCTGCTCTGATGGATATTGTTAAGAGTTCCTTTAGGCTTTTTATAGGTGCATTGCAGCCTTCTGGTATCTTTGGTTTACCTGCTGTGAGCTGATTGAGCATCCATTCCATGGAGAACTATAGGAAAAGCAAAAACAATCATCTCTCCTAATAGTGTTGCCATTTCTTGGCATGTGTTGTCCAGAGTCTTACATGTTGTGAATGTACCAATTCCCACCATGATCTGTACCTCTGCTGTTTGACAGATTGGCTTCCTCTGTCAGGAGAAGAGACCTCTGGGAATGACTGGGGGCCAACAAAGCTTGATTCCATCATTTTCTCCAAAGCTGTCACAGGATGCCTCTCCACCTTTGAATACTGTAGGAAATCACATGCACAAAAGTAAGCTGAAGGATAGTTATAAGAGGAAGGCCTATAATACTACAGATAGGTATTGAAAAGTTATGGAACCTGCCAATAACATTCCACTGAGCACCCAATTAGGAGAATGATAGAGACATCATTTGCATCCTATTACTCACACATTGAGTATGTTGTCCCCATCTTTGCCCCAAACTCTCTGTGAAGAGATAAGTTCTATTCAAGAGGGTTCTTCATTTTAGACCCCTGAGTCTGTCTTTTCATATTAATCCATACACATGACACAGCCAAAAAAGTATATGTATGTTTTATTCATGCACATTTTACAAAAAATTAGTAGCTGACTACTAATAAGGTTTCAATAAATACTGATTGAATAAAACTTGAAATATTCTTGAAATTATAGAGAACATTGATTTAGTGTATCTCCCCACCACTCTCTACTGTCTCCCTCTTTTAGCTTGTTACCAGGAACTTCGTGTGTCTAAAAGGAGAAAGCTGTGAGCATTTTGCTCTTTATAGTTATTAACTCTTGGTTTCACCTTTGATTATAGGGCCTCATAAGCTATAGGAGCCTAAAAGAGACTTATAGAGATGACACATTAAGAAAAATTTTGCCTCAAGATAAGTATCACATGGCATCTCGACCAGATAGTTGTCAAGTTTAACACCCTCTGGAACTCTGGCACTTGAATAGGCAGCAAGAATAGCAGGTTTCTTTTCTAGAACTTTAAATAAAAATTCTCCTGAGAAATAACATTTTTTTTAGAATTTTAACCAAACTCCAGAGATTTTGAAATCTAGATATTCATACTCAATGTGTAAACAAGAATGTTATAGAAAAAATATAGGTATAATATTAAAATGAAAAGGTATACAACTACACTCAGTAAATGAACATTAGAATAGAGAAAAATAAACTTCAAAAATATTTGGTAAAGACAAAGATTTGAGAATAGTAGAGATAGTGCTAATTTATTGGGGTAAATATTGGCAATGTTTTCCAAAATGCTAAATATATATAGTCTTTGATCCAGGAATTTCCAGTATTAAAATAATTATAAAATTTCAAAGTGATATAATCACCAGAGTATGTCAGCAATACAATTTTTAATAACAAAACAGAAAATGAACACAAAAGAAACAATAAAAATGTCTACAAACAACTACTACATAGCCATTCAAAAAAATAACATCAAGGTACAAAAATATGCATAATATAAAGAATGTGTATAGATAAAGAAAATTCAGAAGACAGGTATGCATTGTGGATATACATGTATATTTAGTTTTGTGTATGCATTTATAGATTTTGTATGTACATATGCATATATATTTTGTGTGCATGTTTCCATGTGTGTGTCTGTGTTTCTCATGCAACCACAAAGAATATGGATGAAAAAAAGTAAAATAGACTATTAACTAGGTGTTATTTTTGATGAAAAGTGTATCAATGGGTGTGGGTTTACAAGAGTAGAAAAAAAAAAAACTAAACCTTTTGTAACCTTAACTTCAAAATGTCTACTAAACATTTTCTTTTAAAGTATTTCCAAAATGAGCCACATAGTGGCAGTAATGGCCATGTCTTTAATCAGAATCTGAATTCTACAAAATGGATTTACAGAAGCTGACCAGGCTTCTTGCAAAATGGAATAAATTGAAAGGAACCAAAGGAAGATATGGAGATAATTTGGAAAAGGTGATTGTTTCTAACAAACCAAAATTACATCCAAGAAGGAATGGAAATATCTTCATGTGTGCTTCTTTATTAACTATTTAGAGTTGTTTATTATAAACCATCTAGGAAAAAAGTGAACTAAGTAGACATGTGACTGAAATGTAACAAACATCCTCAATTTTCATCTGACTTCCAAATTCTGTAAAAGATCTACTGGGTTTTGTTTTTGTATCTTTTACCATCAACTTCTAATGAGTTGGTTTTAGAAGACAAATTTGGATGCCTGGAGGGCTCAGCTACAGAAACAAGTGAGCTGATTTGAGACACCTGTAGCCACTGGAGGCAGTAAGCCTCTGCTTTGCTCCTGTAGAGGGGCTCTCAGGAGCAACACTGGCTAGGGTTTCTGGAGCATCAGATTTTCTAGAGGAAATTATGAAATCATTTAAAGTCAGTGATCCATTTATTTATGTTTTAATAATATATATCAAAAAGCCTAAGTCAGCTTTTGGGCTCCTAGGTCAGAGCTTCTGCTCTGAATGAAAGTTTTGGTACTGAAAGTTTAAGGGCCTTGTTCAAAATCCTGGATAACAGTTTTGAATAGGATAAACCTCTTACTCATCTGCTTATTTATAGGGCTTATACTAGATACTATGTCCAAAATTTTTTCTTTCAAAAGCATGGATTATTGTTATCTCATACTGTTGCTTTCAATTGTACTATTTTGATCCACTAACACAAATTTGTTTGCATAATGTATTATTTTGAATCTTCTTTTTTTTCACACAGCCTTTATGAAAATCATTTTCATTTCTGTGCCTGCATTTAAACTGAGATTCCAGTTTAAATTGTTTTTATTCCTATCCAGAGTTAGTTGAAGCATGTGGGAACCCTATTAAAAAACCCTAATAATTTGGCGATACTTCAAAATAATATTCTGTACATGTGGGTTCAATTGAATTTAAACATAGCTTCTGGTTTTCAGTACTGACAAATAAAGAGCTTGGACATTGTCACATCTGTCCTTACAGTAAGAAAAAGGTTGAATAAACCAAAAATCAATGACTGTTCTTATATCCATCAGATAATTGAAGTTGTAGGGAAAACCACCACTCTAAAATCTGGACAGATGAGTGAATACAGAGAATCATAGTCAAGATCAGCTTACCTATAGCAGGATCTGCTAGAACCATAAACTGTTTAGAATAAAAAGTGGCAATGTTAATAAGTTGTTGGAATCCACGTGTAGACTACAGTGAAACTAAAAATCATCTGAGGACTGCTGTCTTAGGAAGAGTTCCCACACTTTCTTGGGTTTTACCTCCAGACCAACAACAGATTCTCACACAAAGGACAATTTAAGAAAAAAATCTCATGTCTCTGACAAAGAGAAGGAAAAAAAGTAACCACTTTGAAATGTGTGTAGAATATTCTCCACTACCACTGCCTATTTTACCAGAGCTTTATCTCACCTGAGAGAAGAGCATTTTCCTAACTCTATCCCCTGTACCCTTTCTGTTTCATATAAGGGATAAAAAGTGAAAAAACACTTGTGAAAGTCAGAGCACAGGACTTAGTGAGTCTACAGATGCACTAGAAGAGTGAAATATAATCATAAAGTCATAGAAGATTCTTCTCCACCACTCCTTAAAACCATTATCAACAGGGTCTCACTATAATAACAGTAGATGACAGCTGAAAAGTTATGAGTCACAGATTCTATTTGAGAAGAAGTTTGAGAATCATAGATTCTATGTGAGAAGTTCTAGAGTTTTTAAAAATATTTTATTTATTTATTTTTAGAGAAGGAAGGGAGGGAGAAAGAGAGAGAGAAACATCAGTGTGCGGTTGCTGGTGGTCATAGCCTACAACTCAGGCATGTACCCTGACTGGGAATCAAACCTGTGACACTTTGGTTCTCACCCCGTGCTAAATCCACTGAGCTATGCCAGTCAGGGCAGTTCGAGAGTTTTGAGCAAGATAGAGGCATAGGTGGAAATGCTTCACTTCCTCATACAACCAAAAGAAGGATAACAACTACTTTTAAAACAATAAACAATGAGAACTGCCAGAAAATCAAACTTCATGGAACTCTGACAACCAAGGAGTTAAAAAAACATTAATCTGGTAGGAAGGGTGGAGATGGGCAGCCAAGCAGAGAGAACCTACAGCAAGGCAGCAGACCATGTAGGAGAGGTGGGGCTGGATGACCAGGAAACTAAAGACTAAAAACCTCTAGCTGTAAAATACTGTGGGGGTTGTGAAGGTGGGAGAAACAGCCTCACAGGAGAGTTCATTAGAAAGTGGGGCTAAGAGCTGAGTGAGTGAGCAGCATTGTTTCCTTTCTGACCCCTCCCCCGCAGACAGAACCCTGAAGCAGCAAAGCAGGTTGCCCCACCCTGATGAATACCTGAGGCTCTACCCCTTATAATGTAACAGCTGTGCTGTGACAATATGTGCCCAAGAAATATGCCCCAAATGAAAGAATAGAAGAAAACTACAGAAAAAGAACTAAGTGATGAGGAGATAGACAACCTATCTGATGCATAGTTTAAAACACTGGTAATCAGGATGCTCAGAGAACTGATCAAGCTCAGTTGAAAAATGAAGGCTACCCAAAGTAAAATAAAGCAAAATATACAGGGAACCAATAATGAAAGAAAAGAAATTGGGACTCAAATCAACAATTTGGAACAAAAGGAAGAAATAAGCATACAATTAGAAAACAATGAAGAAACAAGAATTTGAAAAAATGAGGAGAGGCTTAGCAACCTATGGGACAACTTTAAGCTCTCCAACATCCTAATCATAGAGGTGCCAAAAGTAGAAGAACAAGAGCAAGAAATTGAAAACTTATTTGACAAATAATGAAGGAAAATTTCCCTAATCTGGCAAAGGAAATAGACTTCCAGGAAGTCCAGGAAGCACAGAGAGTCCCAAAGAAATGGACCCAAAGAGGAACAAACCAAGGCACATCATAATTAAGTCACCCAAGATCATAAGGAGAGAATCCGAAAGAGAAAAGGAGATAGTTATCTACAAAGGAGTGCCCATAAGACTATTAGCTGATTTTTCAAAAGAAATCTTACAGGCAAGAAGGGGCTGTAAAGAAGTATTTGAAGTCATGAAAGGCAAGGACCCACATGCAAGATTACTCTATCCAGCAAAGCTATCATTTAAAATGGAAGGGCCAATAAATTGCTTCACAAATAAGGTCAAGTTAAAGGATTTCATAATTACCAAGCCCCTATTATATGAAATGTTAAAGGGATTTATCTAAGAAATAGAAGAAGATAAAAAACTATGAATGGTAAAACTATGA